TTTTTTTTTTTACTGCTTATTTCAATTACAAACTAATCAAAAGCACATAAAATTTATTGTTTTATGAACATACCGTAACTTTGCTGTCTTTAAGTCACAATCTTCTAGCCACTAATTACTATAAAAGTCAACTACAAGCTGTAGGTGTGTCTGAAGACTTGCTTCTTTTTTTTTTTTTTGTTTTTTTTAGTATTGCTATATTTTCAATGACATTGGTATTTATGAATAAATGTATGCAGTAGACAATTAGATTGGGTGATGTTTGTTTTGACAGATTATTGTGAAGAAGTAGCAGATAAGCAGCAGTTCCATTGTTATAGATATTGTGTATAAAAAACTCTACAGTCACTTTTTAGAGAAGAGATAAAAAGAACAGGCGAGTGGAAGGAATAAAACGGTTGCTCATTACAATAAAACGGCTGAAAAAAAGTTTTAAACGCGGTTGCTGAAACTGTTTTTACTTGCAGCATTGAAGTACAAAAAAATTCAAGTCAACTAGGAAATTTATTCGAGCTATAATACTCAATTTTTAAGCAACTAAAAGGAGCAAAACAGTTTAAACAAGAAAAAAAAGGATGAATTCTTGTGCTTGTTCCTGTGGATTGTTTCATCAAGTCGCTTTTGTATGATATTGATCATAATTATAATTTTATTTCAGTAATTGGTTCAATCGTTATTTATGAAAAATTGCTTTAAACTATAACCGCCGTATTTTCATTCAGTTGGAAGTAACTTTCACGTATATGTGAAAAGAGAACAATTGCTGTTTTAGGTCAACAACAGCTGAGCGAAGACGCATGAAATTGTACAGTTATTTATCTGCCTTCATCAAATATATAATTAGAGATTATACTGTCGTCTTAGTCGACCAATTATTTAGGTTAGCTTTGGTGATCAGACAACAGAGTCTTCCATCTTCTGGCCTGTTTACTGCTCTCCAATTTTTCAAAAAGTACAGGGCAATTGATATGTTCCATATTTACAACTAATCCTCTTGCATTCTAGCTTATGATTGTTTTACGCCTCGAACTTCTCGGTTGTTTTTGCATGTGAGCAAAAACTTACAGCGGAATACTTTCTTAATACTTTGTTCTCTTTTTTGCATAGAGCAAAAACAACAACGTTTACTGATGATGAAGAAGGGAAAAGGAGTAGGGAGGGGGAGGAGTAATGCAGGCACTGTAGTCAGGAGAAGTGCGCTTTTTCTTCTTAGAACTCTTTAATTAGCTGCAAAATATTTGAGCAATTTTTTTTTTTTTGAAAACTTCAAATAGTTTATTTTTGCTGACTTATGCTTCACTTGAAATTAAACAGCTTAAAAAAGCACTAAGGCTGGCATTAAATAATTCTCATTATTATAAAAAAGCGAACATTTATTCATTTTCACTTGTATTTTTTAACACATTCTGTTTATGCTCGAGCAGAGCTACATTCAAAGCACAAAAATGAACAGTGTATAATAAAGTTTTTACTGAATGGCAAGGAAAACCGACAAAGAACTGAAAGACAAACAGAAAGAAAACAAAAACACTAAATTTTTTTAGTACTTATCGACTTTATATGCTTCCATATTAAGTCGAATAAAATAAAATTGAAGAGAATTTAACGAAGAAGACGGAAGAAACAGTTTTAGAGCTGACTGTGTTCGCAAACAATCTTCTTCACTGGAAGAAATAGAAATAAGTTGCAGTCTATTATGATAATTTTGTTAAAACAATAAGAAAGCAAAAAACGAAAAACGACCAAGCTGATGTGCTTTTAAGATATAAGATTTTAGAACGATTAAACCAAATAATTGAGAACTGGAAGTTTCGAGGAAATTATATAAGGCAATTCTTCATCAGTTCTACACAGTATCTAAGGAAAACTCACTGATACCTTTCTTTATTCTGAACTTTATGGGTCTGGATTTTTACATCGTCTATTGTCTTTTAATACGAAAAAGTACATGATAGCAATTACAACCAAAATAACCAGAAGGAAAAACACGGCAATAATAACACCTAAAAAGTCGTTGTCCAAACAGTAAAGTCCCGGTGCCGTTGCTGCTGCTGAACCTCTTGGATTCTTTCTCCATTCAGTTGTCGGAAATTTTTGTTTCCTGCCCTGCAGCTTACTACTGAACTTACTCTATGTATTTTGGAAAAATTTATTTAAATTGAACATCAGTATTATAAATCCTAATTTCTTTTCTATTAATTACTGCTGATTTAAAATACACAGAATTTTTAGAAAAGTTTTAAAGTTTTTGAAGCTTCATAATTCAATTAATCACAAACTGCTTTAAAAATCGCTTCATTTCTATACCCAATTTTGAAAAAGGTCCATTTATGCTATATCAAATTAATTCCACCAAGTAAAAAAAGCTGACTTTTTGGTGACGTCATTAATTTTGTTTTTATTAAATAGTTAAAAAAAGATTGTTAATTCTGCAAATGTGACGTTTTAGTGTTACCATACCTGTTCCATAATGTCTAACGTGTTCAGTTCAGTTCGTACGTCTAATGTTCCTGCTGCATTATTTCTCCAATCAGCATTTCTAGCAAAACGCTTTTGTTTAGACTTCCATTTTTGTGAAGCTGCAGAACTTCTTGGGTCTGATTCATTCATTTCAGCGTTCTCTGTTAATTCTGTAGCTTCAAAAACTGCAGCAGCTGTTCCTGAACTACCGACACCTGCAGAAGAAACAGTACCACCAAATTGACTGGCGCCTGATCTAACTGCATTTCCTATAACTTTATTTTACCCAGTCACTTTATGTATAAAATTTGAATAATTGCTGAGTAATAAATGACTGATAAGAATAGATGTTCAACAGTAATACCTGCTCCTCGCCCAGTTGGTTCTGGGCATTGCGGTCGTGGACAATCACTGTTTGGTTCTTTAATGGTAATGGTAATTTGGCATTGATAGAATAACTGCGAGCGATCTGCGTATTTGTAAACATGAGCTTCCTAAATTTCAATAATTTGACCATAAATTGATATTATATTATAAATAGAAAACGAACTGTTTGTATGATTACTGCATATATATCAAAATGTAAACACAAAGAATCTGTATGCTAATAATAAAATCATCCAAATATTTATGATTGACCTATTTTGGTTAAATGATACTGCTCAAACGCATCTGCTCACAGGTACTAAATTTTCAAAATCACTTACGGTCATTTTTATTATCACGAAAATTTTACTGTGCCACAACAAAAGTCTGAGAAAGTCAAAAAAAAATAAAATGCGGAAATAAAAAAAAGCAACTGTTTAACCTGGCCAGCCGTCAAATCTGTAGGATACTCCAAGTTGTTGAGGATATAGCGATCAAGTGCGCAACCTTCAGCATTAATAATGTTCACTAAATCTCCATTACCGTCATCAACAAAGCACGTGTGTACTACCATACAGAAAGTGTCGGCTGTAAAAATTATGTCTGTCAAGCCAAACGAAAAGAAAAACTGGCTGAAGTACAACATTTTTCGATATAAGTTTATATTTGTACAGAATACTCTCAAAATGACAACCCTGAGCGTCGAAAATGTTAAAAGACGGATTTAAGAATACTTGTTTCGGAATCACAAGTCCATTTATGATAAACTTGTTCACCAATTTCTGCAAAAGTTACTGGCTGACCGCCTGGTCCGTTAGAAAGAATCTGTAAATAAAACTATTTCTTGTCACCTATACAGCTAAAGGAAAAGTGCTTTTTTTCTTTCTTTCGTCTCGTCTTTCTGTGCAAAACAAAATTATTGCCAATTGGTACCTCTGTTTTAAAAATTGTTTTACTGTTATTTAAGCAATATTTATAATAAAAAAAATATTATATTCTAGCTGTAAATTGTCAATAACGAAAAAAAAGAGTTAGCAGTTTAATCAATGTTTCAACCTCATATCGACATATTGGCATTGGTACACTATGTGAGTGAAAAGCAGTTGTCAGATCAGAAACAGCTACATCGGCACTAACAGTTTTATCAGCCTCCATATAAAAGCACTGTACTCGATATGCACGATCAACTTTTGTCAAAAAGTATGGCTGCAAATTGCAATAACTACTGAACACAAATAACAACATTAAGGGCAAAAGTTTAAGTGTTACTCTTAGAATTATTCTGAAATTTTTTTTCTAGTTACTACAACCTTCTCCCTCCCCCGTCACAAAAAAAGATTAAAAAAAATTATTTGTTTACAAAAATCAAGTTAAATTTCTTAAAACATTACATGAAAAGAGATAACTACAGTTGTCGACACGAAAATTCCTTTAGGATTTAGTGAACGAGTTCGTGCTACGTTGCAGGTATCAAACGGTAGCGTTATTCCAGCTACCTGTCGACCACTTTCATCGTTTCGGCAACCCGCTTCACTATAGAGACCCTAAAATTAGTACATTCTTTTCTTCTTCTTATAATTACTTTTAATTTGATGCTTGTTTTTGGTAAAACACATCACTTTGTTGTTTTTGAAGAATAAAGAAATTACACTTTTGAAGCAACGTAATATAGAAGCTAGATAATAAACGTTTATCTATTAAACAGCAACTGATTGCAAGAAAACAAATTAAAAGTTAGCTTTTTAAAAGAAAAAAAGACACTTTTTTTAAACTAGAGACCTGTTACACAAAACAATTATTTACATTTATTAATCGTAATTACGTTAAGCAACATTTACATTCATTACGGGTACCATTATATATCTAACTCTTAACGCTTAGACTGCTTAATTCTCTTTTCTCTTGAATTCATGACATTAGTAAATTAGGCACAAAAACTGTTATAGGTACCTTTACGTAGACGTGTCCTTCAAATGGTTTCTGTGTGTTAAAGTTAACGGTGATGGCTGCTGAACCACACTCAATTTCAGGATCTCCTTCAACACCGTTGTCTACGGGAATACACTGGCAAGTGTATACAAGAAACAACAGTATAGCAAGAGGAAAATAATCAGCAAAGTTATGCATACCTATAGATTAATAATTCTGCATATGTTTAATAGTAACAGTATTATATTTAAAAAAAAATTTGAAATATTCAAATACACTGAAATCAGTTATCTCGAAAACGAAAAAAGGGCAGTATTCAGTAAGGAAAAATTACTAGAAGACAAATTTGGAAGTAATATATGGTAGTTAAAGTATAATATTATACTTCGCTGAAAACTATATGCTACTGAATTATCATTGTAAGAAAACGATTAGCATTCTGCAGGTTAAATAACCTTGAACAGTTGAAGAAATAAACTTTTAATCTATTTGAAAAAGTATAATATTTGTTGGTGACATGTTTTTTGAGTTTTTTCAACAACGCTCGTCTTTTTCGCGAATTTTACAAAATTTTTTCAATTTATTTTACTACTATAATCATTGGTGAGCTAACGTGAATGTCACCAGTTATAGTCGACAGAAACTAGGTAAAATCTGAATCATCTTGAGTATTCGACTAATAATGAAAAATTGATAAACAAAATATCTGTTTATATTACTGCTTTCTGACTGCAATTAATAGATGTTTAATCTATTCCAGTAGAATTATATGTGAGAAACTTTAAATTGTTTGATAAGGCACGATGTTGCAGCTGTGAAGAAACTTGCAATAGTTCTTTTCTTATTTCAGAAAATTACAATTTGTAATATTCTTTTTGCTGCTAGTGTCAAAAAAAAAAAAAACGAGAAATAAGAAAAAACCAAGTTAACAAATTTCGAGTAATGCTTTTTTTTTTTTTGCTGTTATGTTTTTAATTGACAACAGTACAGTTAGAGCAAAAAAGAAAACTTAGCAACAATGACAACCAACAACAACAAAAGTATAAAAAATTTACTTCACTTAAGAGCTTTAGACTAAAAATAAAAAAAATGCACCAGAACTAGTATTTAAAAAGGAATTGCAAAAATAAAAAAAATTCAAATAAAAAAAGAGTATAAAAACATGCAACAATTCTAATTAATCACCGTCACTTTTACAGTTAATTGAAAGTTTTATAAACGGATCTGTCGCTAATAACCTCTTGACGATTGGTATATGACAGATTGTTCTTCTGTCGCCTTACCTCATCTTTTTTGTCTTCTTTCCCGTTCTGTTTCCTCTTTCTTATTTTATTTATTACTGTTACTGCATGTCTTACTTTAAGTTGTCAAGCTTAACCAAAAAACTGCTTTACTAGCCAAAAAAAAATGCACTAATGAATTTATCAGCTATTTTTTTAAAAAAAGCACACGCATTAATTATAAAACAAAGCTTCGAGCAAAGCACTGTAAAAAAATAAAATAAAATAAGACAAAATTTAATTTGAAAGTGAGTAGTAATAACAATAATGCTGAAGACGATGAGGTTATCAGAGACGACAGGAAGAAGTAAAAAGGTAAAAAGACGAGAATGCAAAATTTAGAATTTCAAGTAGTTTCACCAATGAAATGAAAAAATTTCTATTTTTTGAACAGCAAACAGTTCAACAGATGAACATAACTAACATCTGAAGCTGCCAGCAGCTGGGAATCTATTTTTTATACCACTTTTTTCTTCTTTCTTTGGTATTCCTTAGTTTGCCATCTTGACCGACCCACTGATGAACGAGCCCAACAACGAGGAGGTTGGGCCGTAAGTTTTGAAGACTTTGTTTGCAACTCCGGTTTTTTTTTATAGAATTGTTCAAGTTGAAATTTTTTTCTTGGAAAATGGAGAAAATTGAGGAGAGGTAGGAGAAGGAGCAGAAGAAAAAGGCGACAACGACGACGACGACGACGTTGACGGTGACGATAAATGTTTTGACGATGGAACTCTTTTTGTGTGTAATTAGCTCGTTAGTGATGGTGAAAAAAAATAGTGTAAAAAACTACAAAACCAAAAAAAAATTTGAGAGCTCTGTAGAAAACACTTTTGGTCATTTACATACACTTATTATATGAGCACACTTTTTTTTTTGGTCGATCTATTTTAAATTCACTAATTTTTTTTTCTCTTTTATTGTTCTTAACGATCACCGCAAACTCGGCAAAAGAAAAAACTAGGAATTTCCCTTTTTTTGACTAGTTGCTTAAATTGAAAAAAAAAACTTTTTTTGCTGAACACTTCAAGATATCAAACGAATAAAGAATGAAAAAAATAGAGGTGTAAAAACTGCTTCTCCCCACTCTATAAACTTTTTTTATCTTCCAGTTTTTTTTAGACCATTTAAAAAAGATATAAAAAGTTATTTTCTATTTAATGCAGGTTTTTTCTTTCTAACTGAAAGTTTTTTTACACAAAAAACATTTTGAAAAGCTTTTTTAATACATTTATTTTTTGGAGACTTTTTTGACTCTTCATCATCATTTATGACGGTAAACGAACTTTATGAAGCTTCTTCAAATCGCTTCTCTTTTCAAATTGGCTAAGTATAAAAAAACAGTTCAATAGAACTGAGCTGATTGTTTCAGCAGCATCTGGCTTTTCAGACAGACATGTATTGTTTGTTAAAACATTCTGATTACAGCTAAACTCCGGAAGACATTGACTACGGCGCTGTTTGATGTGTTGTCGATTCGATCACACACTTTGACGCTGATAAACATATCAGTTGTACAAAGCTAAGAAACTAACGACATCCAAAAGTTTACAGCAGCACTGAAGTCACCATTGTCTCCAAATGTAGAATTGAACGAACCTGTACATATGAACAGAACTGTAAAAAACAGAACTGAAAATTCAAAAAATTGTTCTACTGAGAGACCGAAATAAATTGCTAATAGGTTGTCGGTTATTGCAGTGATCAGAAGGAGTGGTATAAATTTGACGGCAAAGAAAATTGGCTGTTTACTGGGTGCAATGCAGACAACGATTGGCTTGGTAACTTTGTAGCAAAATTAATAGTTTTAAGACAGTTTCTAAAACAGTTTTTTTCATCTTTTCTATCTTTTTTTATCTAAATAAAAATTTTGACATTGTTATACTGCAGTTATTGGACCTTTTTTCCTACTTTGTTGTTTCCTCCCTTCTCTCTTCAACATTCCTAAGTAAAAGCGAAAGTTTTATCGAAAGTTTACCAAGTAAAAATCTTATTTCAATCATAAAATCAAGTGTTGTTCTGACACACTAATGGTTTATTATTGTATTTCCATCAAACACAACCAAATTTTAAATAAATATACATATGTACCCAGAATGTATACAAACATAAAAAAAAAAGCAAAAAAAAAAAAGGAAAACGAAACAACAGATGCAATTTCCTCTTTCTTCTATGTAATATTAACTTATTAGATAAAAACGGTTAAAAAAGTATTTTATTTGTATAACTGACTTTTATAATTTTTTGATTGCTTATTTCTTTTTGATTTAATACCAAAATTAAATTAACACATAAAATAATTCTTAATCGCCAATTATACGTCATTAAGAACTACTAAATAAATGATAATGATAATACCGATAGCAGTAAAAGTAATAATAGTAATGATAATAATAATAATAACAGTAATAGCAGTAATAAAATTAATAACAAAGACAATAGGTTATAGTCAAAAAAAGATTGATTAACAACAAAGTTAAAAGTTAGTTTAGGAGTCAGTAGGCAAGTCTGAGATCAGATACTTGGAAAACTGACCAAAATTTAGGTCATTTATTAGAAAAAAAAAAGAAAAAGGAAAAAATAGTTTTAGCTTTAAACAAGTTTCTTTTTGTTTTTTAACAGTAGCTTTATTTCCTTTTTTTGTCTTTTCTTTGCTAATTATTTCTTTGCTGTCCAATCTCTATAAATGATCAGTAATTGAATTTTTATTAGCAACAAATCAATCAGTCAACTTCAGTTAACTGTTGGAGCAGAACTATTTAGCAATAGTTGATAACCGTATTATTTAAATTTTTTTCTAACAAAATATCGTTTTCAAATGAGCACTTTTTTTGTTCAGTTTTATGTAAGCTGTCGTGGTATAAAACCCAACTGAATCATCAGCAGCTATATTTACCATTTGTCACAATACAATATTCAACAAAAAATTGACAAATAACGGCTTAGAATTACCTAATTGCTGTTAAGT